ATGGCATTAGTCTTTTTTTTTTAAAGATTTTATTTGACGCTTAACGGCTGAGCCACCCAGGCGCCCCTACAACTTTATTCTAATCATCTTTTATTTTCCAGCCATATGTTTCAAGGAAACATGTTAGAAATCTATGAGATTTGATTATTAAATGGTATAGATAGACAAATACTCAAACAGATTCTTGCATCTGACCCCACTCAGACACTGCCAATACTTGCCCTTCAGTGCTCGGTCGATTATGCGTATGGCCATCGTCATGAGGGTCCAGCACTTAGAACATATGTCTGCAGAACTGGAGCAGAGGCATCATTACTCACTGTCAGTGATATCACCCACCCTACCAGCAGGGCATGCAGTGCTTACCTACAACATCTCCTCACATCATCATAGTCTGTCATGTCAATGTCAAACACCAGTTCTTTTTCCTGAGCCTGGAAAGCTCCCAGCTTCACTGTATTGTGTTGATTGGGCTGTAAGGAGAAAATATCAATCAGTTTTGATAAGAGCTGTCATGCTGCCAACTATGCTATTTTCTATCCACACAAAGAAAGTGACCAAAGAGGAATGAAAAAACCATAATATAATGCCAACTCTACTCAGTTAAAGTTCATTAATTTGGATTCATCCAGAATTGATGACAATGTAAATTTCATCTACCTAAAACAGGTTTTGATAAGTATATATTACCACAGATATTTGTGTTTTACCAGTTCTACTGAGATATAGTTGATATGTAACATTGAATAATAAGTATTTGTTAATCAATAGAAATCATAATAAAGCTTTTTTAGGTTTCTGATAAGGAAAAGTACATGCAAATAATTAATGCCCTATTGTTTTAAAGACCTTTAATTATTACTGGACATATAAGTAACAAAAGTGTATTTAAAAATTTTCAGTAATTCAGAAGATCTCAATTAGTTTGAACTGAGCCTTTGACTCAACCTGTAAGTAGCCTCCTTTGAGGCTAGGGGCTACCTGGTATATAAAGCAGACTGAATACAGACACTGACCTTGCTCTTTCCAGACCTGCACAAAAATGATAGTAAAGGGTTTCTTAAGAAATGCATAAGTTTTTTAAAAAAGGATCACAGGAAAAAATTTTTTTTTCAAAGATTTTATTTATTTGACAGAGAGAGACACAGCAAGAGAGGGAACACAAGCAGGGGGAGGGGGAGAGGGAGAAGCAGGCTTCCTGCCGAGCAGGGACCCCGATGTGGGGCTCAATCCCAGGACCCTGGGATCATGACCTGAGCCAAAGGCAGATGCTTAACGACTGAGACACCCAGGCGCCCTGAAAAATTTTTTTTAAATTAAAAAAATTAAAAAGTACGAGAGAGGAGAAAATACCACCACAATTTTTATAAGAATACCCATAAGAGCTGAATCTTAAGCTCTCAGTAAGGAAAGATAAGAAGCAATCCAATTTACACCTCAGCATCCCCCAAAAACTCAGGTGACAATGGATATCCCTTGCGGGGGGAGAGAGAGAGGTAGCGGTGAAGCTAAGATTAAAAACAGGAGCATCAGTTAAAAATCTGCTTATGAAGCAGGTAGTTCCCCAGATTCCTCCATTTACTCAGCAGAGCCAGGTGACTACGCTTTCATTTCCCTGGTAAAGACACCTGAATTATTATCTGGAGAACCTCAAACAGTGGGTCTCTTTGGACTGGGATGGGGGTAGGAACAAAAGGCACAGTTGAAGAAAGTGTATTGTACTGACATACAGGGGATTAAGTGGACATCTACGTGTGGAAAGTTAAGACCCCTCTCCCCCACTTCTATACCCTATCACTGCCACGCCAGGCAGGACACCAGAAGATTCCTCTCTGAAGAATCTGATCAGGAATGTCAGGCACTATTATAGGCTCTGGAATAGAAGATCAGTGATCAAAACAAAGATCTCTGTGCTAGTGGAGTTTTCATTCAAGCAAAGATCTAGAGAAACTGATGTTGGAGCTTCCTCCCCCCAAAATGGCCCAGCCAGATCACCCTGTAATAAAGAAATCTCAGCCATGTATACACAACTTTTCCAATCAGCTTTTTTAGTACTCTATTTTTAAATATAAACAGCATGCAAGAAATTATCAGACTTATGAGGAAAGCCTCTAATATGAAAGAGGAGAAAAAACGGGAAAATAAAAGCAACTTTGAAAAAACAGATTGTACAACAGAAAACAATCACTGATATCCTCAGAAAGATAAGACATATCAATAAAAAAAGTATAGGATGCTCTAAAAAAAATCTTGGCAATTAAAATATAACAGAAGTGAAAACCACTGAGGAAATTCCTCAGCAAGTAGAGCAAAAGAACAAACAAAATAGAAAATAGGAGGAAAAAAAAATTAATGGACCAGTCCAGGACACATAACATCTGACTTTTGGATTTCTAGAGAGACCAAATAAAAATTACAGATAGAAAAAATTGTATTTAAGAAAGAAAAGATAGGTGTGGGTGCCTGGCTGGCTCAGTTGGTAGAGCATAAGACTCTTGATCTCTGGGTTGTAAGTTCGAGCCCCATGTTGGGTATAGAGATTACTTAAAAATAAAATCTTTTTTTTTTAAACTTCAAAATAAAATCTTATAAGAAAAAGGAAAATTTCCCAGAATTGAAGGACATGAGTTCATGATCATAAGAGCCCATCAAGTACTAGCACAATAGGTGAAAAAGATGCACGCCAAGGCACATCATTGTGAAATTTTAGTACATTAGAACAGAGGGGATAGGTAGAAAATCCTAAGAGCTTTCAGGTCCAACACAGTGGAGCAAGAATCAGAATGGCATTAGTCTTTTTTTTTTAAAGATTTTATTTATTTATTTGAGAGAGAGAGAGAATGAGAGATAGCACGAGAGGGAAGAGGGTCAGGGGGAGAAGCAGACTCCCTGCTGAGCAGGAAGCCGGATGCGGGACTCGATCCTGGGACTCCAGGATCATGACCTGAGCCGAAGGCAGTCGCTTAACCAACTGAGCCACCCAGGCGCCCCGGCATTAGTCTTCTTAACAGCAACACTGGAAACTAGCATATCATGCAAAATTCTAAGGGAAACTGATTTACAAACTCAACCATTAGTTAAGCATAGAGGTAGAATGAAGTCATTTTCCAGATACAGAAAGTGTCCAATATTTTCTTTTCCATGCACCTTTTCTCTGGAAGCTCCTGGAGGATGTACTTTACCTTAAAGAGGAAGTAAACCAAAAAGAGAACAAAGGATTTGGGCAATACAGTATCCAAAATGGGAGAGAGGTGAAAGGAAACTGGGGTGATTACAAAACCATATTTATCCATGAGGCTTGCTTGGAGGTCAGAAAACTGCCGGTGAAATTTCTTCAGGATGAAACTGACAAAAACCTGATGGGTCTGAATACATGGGGAGACTTAGACAATTGGTAAGGAGTCTGGGGTTGAGTTAGTGATCTAACCCTGATTTTTAATCTAACAAACATATTAGGACATGTGGAAATGGGAAGGGAAGTGGTGAGGTTAAACAAAAAAAAAAAGCTAAATCCTTATCTGCCAGAGAAGAAGGTCAGTAGATAATGCTTAAAATGGAAAATGAAAGAAATATTAAAATGTTATTTACACACAAGGGGCAAATACCCTAAGAATCAGCTAAAAAGAAAGTAGTTGCCTCTGGGGAGCAGAAAATAATGGGAGTAGGAGACCCTTAAAAAAAAAAGCCTGGGCACCTGGGTGGTTCAGTCAATTAAGTGTCTGATTTTTGATTTTGGATCAGGTCATGATCTCAGGGTCACCGGATCGAGGCTGGCATTGAGCTCCATGCTCTGCACAGAGACTGCTTGAGATTCTTTCCTTCTGCCTCTCTCCCTGCTGGATATGTGCATGCTCTCTCAAATAAATAAATAAATCTTAGAAGAAAGAAAAAAAAGAAAAAGCTCCATACAAAAGCTATTATCCCATGAGTGTGTTTCTCCCCCATGTGTGTTTTTTTTTTTTAAGATTTTTTATTAAATTTATTTACTTGAGAGAGAGAGAGGGCAAGCAAAAGCAAGAGAGAGAGCACGAGCAGGGGAGAAGGGGCAGAGGGAGAGAGAGAAGCAGATTCCCCACCGAGCAGGGAGCCTGACCTGGGGCCTGATCTCAGGACCCTGGGACCATGACCGGAGCCGAAGGCAAAAAGCAGATGCTTAACTGACTGAGCCACCCAGGCGCCCCCCCCCCATATGTGTATTTTTAAGGAGAGAAAGAAGGGCAATTTTGGTATGTTCATTCATTCAACAAATACTTACAGTGTTCTCTCTCTGCCAGGCACTGTTCTAGATATTTAGACTATATCAGTGGCAATGGGTAGGAGGAGTGGCAGGTTGCAGTAGGCCTCACTGAGTGAAGACTTGAGGAGGTGAGGGAAGGAACCAAGGAGATATCTGGGGAAATGGGTTCTGGGCAGTGGAAACTGCTTGAGCAAGGGTCAGTGTGGCAGGAGCAGAGTGAGTGAGGGGGAGAGAGGGGCTTTTACTCTGAGTGAAATGGGGAGCCACTAGAGAATGGTTTTGAGCAGAGGAATCACAGAATCTAACTTGTTTTAAAAGGATTGCTCTGGCAACTGTGTTGAGAATAGACTCTGGGTATATAGGAGCAAATTGTTAGGAAGTTTTTATAGTAATTCAGATGAAAGATGATGAGGATGGTAGTAGCACTGGTACCAGTGGTTAGATTTCAGATACTATTTTGGTAGAGCTAAAGAGATTTCCTAATGGAATAGATATAGGAGTATGAGAGATATAGAGGAATCAAGAATAACTCCATGGGGTGCTGGCCTGCCTCAGTCGGTAGAGCATGTGACTCTAGATCTCCGGGTCACATTGGATATAGAGATTACTTAAAAAACAAAAATAATAAAATTAAAAAAATGCAAAAACAAAACAAAATAAAACACCTCCAATGCTGGAAGACAATGTAATTCTTTTAAAATACGCTCCTTAAACCATGCTGACTTTCTCATTTACTCTTTTGGCCAGATACTCAATTTTTTTGTCCTAGTGAGAATACAACCAACTCACTTCCAAATGATTTCCAGTCAGTAATGTAGAATATCAAAGAACAGAAAATATTGCCATCTACTTGTAAAAAGTTAAAGTGGGACTCAATTAGAATAAACTCTAAAAATTTAACCTCAAAACAATGGGAGCACCAGTCCATTCCTGGTTTAAACAACAAAACTACAAAATACATAAAAAACCGATTTCTTACTCTGTGGGAATATACCGCGCCTATATCAATCTTGTATGGATTCATTTTCTGCATCTCCTTTTCCAGATCACTCTGGTTGTTGAAGGATTGGTAGCGAATGTAAATATCATCTTTCAATGTGAATGAAAATTCACGGTGTTGAAAGTAATTCTTTATTACTGCAAAATAAATATACAATTTTAAAGTTAATTTGGTAATTTATTCAGCTCAGCGCATTAAAACATTAACCAATATTTTTAATGAGCCCTCTGTGCCCAACACTGTGTTACACGTTAAAAAAAAAAAAAAAAAAAAGACCTAGTCCCTAATCTGAAGGGGCTTACCATCCTGCAACTCTTAGGAAAAAGTAAAAATGAGGAAAAATATGCAGAAATATTTTAAAGATGTAATGTCCCCTGTCTCTCCTCGGCGGACACTACTAAGTTCAGCTGCGAAGAGTTCAGTACCTCTCGTCTTCCGGGAGATGCCCCGCTGTCCCTGATACAGAACACGCCTCTGCAGCTTCAAGCTACGACCCAGTAATCTCCCTGGCTCAGGCACCGCAGTAGGTGAACGGGGCACTGAACGTGAGTGCCACCACGTAGTGGTAGGAGCAGCGGCTCTTTCTTTTACTGTGTGGCCGGAGGCTGGTTACCGTAACCTCTCTCGGCCCATTTATACCTCTGAGGTGGTGGGGAGGGTTCGAGATAACGCGCGAAGGCGCCCGGCATAATGCCTAGCGCACAGGAGGCACTTCATATTGTCATTCCAAGGTACCCTCCCAGAACCTCCTCACCCTCCCCGCCGAACCACTACCCACTCCCCTCCCGGCTTCCATCACCTCCGCCATAGTTGAGCCAACGATAGTACTGGGCGTAGGGAAAAAGCCTCCGGTAGTAAAGCTTAAGCAGCTCAGGCAGCTCGGCTGGGTCAAACGTCTCCATGGAGCGCGGGACTCAACGTCTGCAGTGTTACCGCAAGAATTGGCGGGAACCACACAGCCGGAGCCTCTGACACTGCGCAGGCGCGCTGTGCCCGCGGCCCGGCGTCTGCACGGGCCGCTGGGAATTGTAGTTCCCACTTGGGGGTTGGCTTAGAGCGCGGCGTGGTCTGGGCCTTTCAGCGTCCTCACTAGGTCAGCTGCTCTGGTGGCTAGAAGAAAGCCGTTCCCATTCCAGGAAGGAAGGTCTCCTTCAGAAAGGTGAGCCCTTGAGCATATTGACTTAGGTTATTAAGATGAAGTAAAAAAATGTTCCCCGCTAACTTTATGAATGTTTTCGAAATAACGCATTTGAACAATGCAAAGCAATATCTTTTTTTCTTTTTTTATTCATTTCAGAGAGAGAGCACAAGCAGGCAGAGCTGCAGGCAGAGGCAGAGGCAGAGGCAGAGGGAGAAGCAGGCTCCCCGCTGAGCATGGAGCCCAATGCAGGGCTCGATCTTAGGACCCTGGGATAATGAACCAAGCCCAAGGCAGACAACCGACTGAGCCACCCAGGTGCCCCTAAGCCAATGTCTTTTTGAGAGGGTTTGGAAATTAATTCTTCATAGAATTACTAGGTCCAATATGTGGAAATAAACGAAGACCAATGAAATAAGAAAATCAAAGGCTATTTATTCAAGGGGGTCAGCTGCAGACACATGAATTTTGGCAGAAACTCATAGGCAGGCAGAGGAGTGGGGAAGCTTTATAGTGGGGGAGAGGGGAGGTTTCAGGTATGTCCTAATTCAAGGCTCTTTGCAACGGGAAAGCTGTAGTTGGGATAACTAGGAGTGGGGACATTCTTTGTGATTGATTAGGAGAGCATATTTGGCTTTCTCTGGTTGGTCCTAAATTGGAAGTGGCCACAAAATCTGGGGAAGCTGATATTTATTAATCAAATCCTGGCCATTTGGGGCCAATTGTTACAGGGGTTACTAGAGACAATGGTCTGACTTCTGCAAGTCTGACTTATAGCAGGCTGGCTTCCTGAGCTGTTTATTACAGATAAGGGGATTGGTTACCTAGGTTGGCTTCTTCAGGTTGTAGGTCACAGTTCTGTTTTGTTTTTGTTTTTACATAAACTCTACGCCCAACTTAGGGCTTGAACTCACAACCCTGAGTTGCATGCTCTATGAGCTGAGCTACCCAGCAGCCCTCAGAGTTCTGCTTTTATATATGGTCTGGCTACTGTTTGTATATTCAGTCTCTCAAATAGAACACCCAGGAATGCTAAAATCTGAATTAGAGGAATCTTGCAGAATCATGGAGAGCTTTGCAAGTATAAAAGGAGCCTGTTTGCTACTAATGTGCAGATCTGCCAATCAATCTTACCTGGTAAAGATACACCTCATTGCAAATGTGGACTGGGTGGGCAGTCTATAATCACAAAGATATCATGTCACTTAAAAACCATCATTTTCATGAATTTTATGTTTGCAGTAACAGTAGGAGAGCAGGGAGAGAATAGAGTCTCTAGTAAGTTATTATTAGCCTAATCTCGAAAATGATCACGGTCTTTCAGCTTCTGTGGGCAAAGTGGTCAAAATGGGCTCTGGGCAGATCATACTTACTTGAATATTCCTTGAAATCTGCTTTCCTGCACAGATCTTAGTTGATTTTCATAATCCTTATGCATCTTGTTTTGGGTAGGGTGAGTTTTGTTACTGGAAAGGTCTTTAATAATAATGCCAAGAGTGCTCTGGGGAGTGCTCTTTTCCAGAACCATATCTGTCTGGACTGTTTAATGGAGGTTTCTCAGTTTTCTCATTGCTGCCTTTAGGAACTGACTTCTTTGGGATATTTGGGAGTCCCCTGTTTGAATTTCAGGACCACCAAGGAGGGCAACACCAGAAGGAGCTAAGATGTAAGGGGAGAAAGCAAAGGAAGTTATATTTTTTGAGTTCTTACTATCTGCTCGATTTATTTAACATCAGTTTTCTCATCAGGAAAAAGGGAATAATAATAATAGCTAGTGTTTATATAGCATTTGCTATGCTGTCAGGTACCCTTCTGAGAATTTATTCTTCCACCTTCCACCTGTCAGAATGGCTAAAATAAAAAAGACAAGAAATAACAGGTGTTGGTTAGGATGTAGAGAAAAAAGAACCCTTGTGGACTGTTGGTGGAAGTGTAAATTGGTGCAGCCACTATGGAAAACAGTATGGAATTTCCTCAAAAAATTAAAATAGAAATACCATATGATTCAGTAATTCCACTACTGGGTATTTACCCAAAGAAAACGAAAGCACTGGGGTGCCTGGGTGGCTCAGTTGGTTAGGTGTTGGCCTTTGGCTTGGGTCATGATCTCGGGGTCCTGGAACTGAGCCCCATGTCAGGCTCCCTGCTCAGTGGGGATTCTGCTTCTCCCTCTCCTTCTGTGTTCTCTCTCTCGCTCTTTCTCAAACAAATAAAATCTTTTAAAAAATTAAAAAAAGAAAAGTACTAATTAGAAAAGATATGTGTGCCCCTATGTTTATTGTAGCATTATTTACAGTAGCAAAGATATCTAGGCACCCCAAATATCCACCAATAGATGAATGGGCAAAGATGTGAGGTACACACACACACACACACACATACACACACACATAAACACACACACAATGGAATATTGCTTAGTCATAAAAGAGAATGGGATCTTGCCATTTGCAACAACATGAATGGATCTAGAGAGTATTATGCTAAGTGAAAGAAGTGAGACAGAGACAGATACCTTATGATTTCACTCATGTAGAATCTAAGAAACAAAACAAAGAGACAAACAAAAAACCAGACTCTTAAATACAGAAAACAAAATGGTGGTTGCTGGAGGTGAGGTGGGGGGGGGTGGATGAAATAGATAAAGGGGATTAAGAAGTATTAACGTCCAGTTATAAAATAAGTCACGGAGATGAAAAGTACAGCATAGGGAATATAGTCAATAAGATGGTAATAATACTGTTTGGTGACAGATGGTGACTACACTTACTGTGGTAAGCACTGAGTAATGTATAGAATTGTTAAAAAGAATTTATCAGGAAACTTGGGTGGCTCAGTCCATTGAGTGTCTGACTCTTGATCTCAGCTTGGGTTTTGATCTCAGGGTTGTGAGTAAAAAAAATTTACCCCTCATAACCCTATATGGTAGATACTAATAATTATCCTATTTTGTAGCTGGGGAAATATTCAGAGAATTTAAATACTTTGTTCAAGGTCACACCAGCCAGATAGCTCTCTGCATTTAACCCCTAAGCTACGTGCTGTGTCTCTACAAGGGGTTGTCATGAGAATTAAATGAGATAAAGTGAGAGGTCCCTAGCACAGTTAACTCATAGGCCACTGCTACAAGGTGTGAGAAAACGGTCTAATTCTGTGCAAATGCTCTGGTAGAGAGGCTGTTATCCTCGGTGCCACTGGGAGGCAGTATTGCCATTCAGTTGGTGTCCCCTTGTGCTTTCATCCCCTTAGGTGCGAAACCCCTTTGTCCTTCAAGCCTTATACTATCTGCCATCCCCTTTACAGTTACCGTATACATCTGCTGTCATCCTTTTTGGGTAATCCATCAGTTCTAGGTCTCCCTAAGTCATTTGCAGACTTGGACACTTACCTCGTGGACTTCCCTTCCAGTTCAACTCCTATTGTTATTCTGGTTGTTTTTAGCATGTAAAAGATGATCTATGTGGTAGATAGATCCACAATAGCTAATGAACATTTGTGTTGGACACTTAGGCTCTGGGGAGAAAAAAATTCATGACATGGTTTCTGTTTCCAAGAAAGTTATAAGCTAGTAGGGGCAATAGACACAAATCAAAAAGTGAAAGGAAGTGTTATAGATAGATGCATTTATTTTTTTATTTTTAATTTTTAAAGGTATTATTTATTTATTAAAGATTTTATTTATTTATTTATTTGACACAGAGAGACACAGCGAGAGAAGGAACAGAAGCAAGGGGAGTGAGAGAGGGAGAAGCAGGTTTCTTGCTGAGCAGGGAGCCCGATGCAGGGCTCAATCCCAGGACCCTGGGATCATGACCTGAGCTGAAGGCAGGCACTTAATGACTGAGCCACCCAGGGGCCCCTATAGATGCATTTATAACCAGCTGTCTATTGGCATCAGCATTTTCCGTAAGACTTGGGTAAGATTGGTAAAGGAGAGCAGACACAAAATTGTAAATGGCGTGGCACTTTCCAGAAAGTGCCAGTAGTTCGTTTGGACAGAGCTCAGACTTGAAGGGAAGGCCTGGTGAGAGATGGGGCTAAGAGGCAAGCTATGGCTAGAGCATTGGATGCCAAGCTAAGACGTGTGGAAATAAAAATTATTTATCTTCCATTTTTATTCCACTTTGATTAAAATTAAGATAAAATATTGATCATACCATTATTTGATGAGACGTCTTGGGAGTAAATAATCTTGTTGAAACAAGTAATTTGAAAATTTGGTATACTTTTGTGCTAGTTGTTTTCCTCTTTAATAAGGTAAGGAAGAGAAGACTAGAGAATATCTTCTGATGAATCAAGAGCATAATAAAGAGAGACTATCTAGGTGGGGCCAAGGTCATATTTAAGTTTAATTATGATAGGTTCTGTCTCTGGTTATTATGAACTACTGAAAAGTAATAAAGAGCACCTTCATAATTGTTTAAGGGCAAAGTTTTAGTTTAATCTCACAGGGATGCTGCTTTTAACCACAAAGCAAATGATGGCCACAAAGCCAATAAAACAAGTGTTATAGGACATTGCAGTTGTTTTTTAATCTCTACACTGGATTTCATGTATAAAATTGAATTTTTTCACCTAAACTATAAGTTAACCCATCAGTTTTTTTGGTAAGTAACCTGCCAGTATACATACTGTGTAGGTTTTCATGTTAGTCACGAAGTTGCATACTCTTTGGGTCTAGCTTTCTCTTTGCAAACTGTATAAAATAAAGGATGGCAGATTCAAATGGGAACACATCAAACCTTGTTCTTCCACAGGAATTTGGATTGGTT